AGTGAGCAGGAAGCAGGAAGATGGCAGGATGAGGACAGTGTGCAGGCAGCAGGGAGATGGCAGGATGAGGACAGCGCGCAGGACCAAGAGGTGAGTTAGAAATTAGGCTGTACTTTAAGATCTACTGTATCATCAACACAGATATTAGCCTAATAGGCAAATATTTATTTCTGATGGCTGTTGGAGCTGGGGGGACTGAGAGGGCAGGGATAACACCAGACTGCTGGACCAGACCAGGCTGTTTGTAACTGTATAGGCTTATTACTTTTACTAGTTCTTCTAGGATAATTCCTGGGAGTTATCAAAACCAAGTTCTTTTGGATAGGGATAAGGATAATGAGATCTTCTGTATTGATTCTCATTGTGTCGCATGTCCAGACCATGACCGTGTGTTGCATACATGTTAGTAAACACCTCTGGTGCATCTTGCACTCTTAACATTGATCCTGGTGGCTATTCGTATTGAAACAGTAGCGGACCAGAATGGTCATAGAAGTGTTATGAAGGCAGTACCCCCCAATTATGGAGGGGTAATTCGCACTCTGGTTTTCGCCACTTTTAGCTTTAGATCAATTACCACTCAGCTATCACCATACAGTCCTATGCAGGGTCACAGGTGTCTGTAGCCTATCCCAGAAACTACAGACACAAGGCAGGGAATAACCCAGGATGGGGCGTCAATCCATCACAGGGCTCACACACACACCATTCACACACACCATTCACACACACATTCACACTTACTATTTAGTACCTCCAATTCCTAATAATACTTAATTGAAATACTTTTTTATGTTTATAAAAAAATGAAAATTTAAACTTTTTTGCCTTTATGTCTTATTGTAAATAAAGTATGTGTTGAACATCTGAAATGATGTCATCATGTAGTATGATAGAATTATGATGTAACTAATAGGAAACTTACCAGAAAGGGGGGCAGGGAGAATAAATAATGACACTTATAGACAGTATGAATGGATGGACATTCTGCTGTTACAGGTTCTTCTGTCTGTGTGTCTCTCAATCCGAGATGTAAGACAGTATGAATGGATGGACATTCTGCTGTTACAGGTTCTGTCTGTGTGTCTCTCACTCTGACTTGTAGACAGTATGAATGGATGGACATTCTGCTGTTACAGGTTCTTCTGTCTGTGTGTCTCTCAATCCGAGATGTAAGACAGTATGAATGGATGGACATTCTGCTGTTACAGGTTCTTCTGTCTGTGTGTCTCTCAATCCGAGATGTAAGACAGTATGAATGGATGGACATTCTGCTGTTAC